GGTCCGAAAGCTCTGCGTTCTCCGATCTCGGTCCAGCATAGCAGTGTTTTGCACGGTCTCCCATATAACGCCTCATATGGTGACACTCCAATGTTTGCATGATGGTTGTTGTTGTAGGCGAACTCGCACAACATCATGTATCGGTCCAACATAACTCCCCACTCTAGTACACATGCTCGGAGCATGTCCTCCAGAGTCTGGATGGTTCGCTCCGATTGACTGTCCGTCCACTACAAAAAAAATGGTCATTTCCAACGGGCAAATCCGTTGGAAATGACCAAATTTCCGTTGGAAATTAACGTTTCCAACGGATTTCCAACGGATAAATCCGTTGGAATTTCGTCGTTAGAAAACGGTGTCCGTTGGAAAACCGTTGGAATTTTCAACGGAATTTCAACGAATTTCCAACCGCAATCCGTTGGAATTTTCCAACGGATTTCCAACGGATTTATCGGTTGGAATTTTCCAACGCATCAAGATCTATAGAGATAGATCTCGAAGGCTTCTTGCCCTAAGTCAGAGTACATACATCGATAAAGTTCTGAATCGGTTCAGAATGCAAGAGTCAAAGAGATGACTCTTGCCGATGTGTCATGGTGTTGTTCTCAGCAAGACTCAGTGTCCTAAGACACGTGATGAGATAGAACGTATGGATAGGATCCCATATGCTTCGGCAATAGGATCTATCATGTATGCCATGTTATGTACTAGGCCGGATGTATCGTACGCGTTAAGCATTACAAGCAGATACCAGTCGGATCCAGGAGAGTCACACTGGATCGCGGTCAAGAATATCCTTAAGTACTTGAGAAGGACTAAGGATTTATTCTTGATATATGGTGGATTGGAAGATGAGCTCGCTGTAAAGGGTTACACCGATGCTAGTTTCCAATCGGACCAAGATGACTACAGATCGCAATCAGGCTACGTCTTCTGCTTAAATGGAGGCGATGTTAGTTGGAAGAGTTCCAAACAGGCCACCATAGCAGATTCTACTACAGAGGCTGAGTACATTGCCGCATCGGATGCTGCGAAGGAAGCTGTTTGGATCAGGAAGTTTTTGGGTGACCTGGGCGTTGTTCCTAGCGTTGTGAACCCCATTGCGTTATACTGTGATAACAATGGGGCGATAGCACAAGCTAAGGAACCTAGGTCACACCAACGATCCAAACACATACTCAGACGGTTTCACCTCATAAGG